ATGCAAGCTGCTGAAGAGCCTGTACGGGCTGAAGCAGAGCCCTCTGCTGTGGTACTCTGCGCTCGACGCTGTGCTGATTGGCGCTGGTTGGAGCAAGAGCCAGGTCGACGAGGCCCTCTATTTCCGAGTTGGCGACGACGGAGTGGCGTGCTGGGTGCTCGTCTACGTCGACGACCTGCTCGCCGCCAGCAGCAGCACCGCGATGCTGAAGGAGCTGAAGGAGCTGCTGGAGGCTGCCTTTGAGCTGCGCGAGATCACCCCGGTCGAGAAGTACTTGGGGCTCGAAATCGTGCGTGACCGTCCGGCGCGGAAGCTGTGGCTTCACCAGCAGTCCTATGTCGACAAGCTGCGAAGGCGCTTCATCGACGAGGAGCAGACTGGTCGGCGTCCGAAGACACCTGTTTCCGTCGACGCGTATGCCGAGCTGACTTTCGACGACGATGACTTTCAGTCGCGCGAAGAAGAGGAGTATCGTCAGAAGGTCAGTTCGCTGCAGTTCTCTGCCACAACAACTCGGCCCGACATCGCTTTTGCGTGCAGCAAGCCGGGATCTGGTCTGACGGTGAGGAGCGATAACCACTGGCGTGAGGTCGACCGCTGCCTCAACTATCTCTCGGACACGCGTGATGTTGCTCTGGAGTTCGGAGGAGGACCGGAGACTCTGACACTGGTCGGCTACGCGGACGCTGACGACGCAGGCGACAAGCAGAATCGCACTAGCACGAATGGCTACGTTTTCACATTCGGCGGCGCAGCTGTCTCCTGGACAAGCCAACGCATTAAGTGCGTGACTCTGTCCTCTACGGAGTCAGAGTACATCGCGGCCACTGAGGCGGCCAAGGAGGCTCGTCGACTTCGATTCCTCCTCGCCGAGTTCCAGCTCCTCGATGCTGGGACGCCAACTACTCTGAACGTGGACAATTAGTCCGCCATCGCGGTCGCTGAGGGCTTGGGGCTGAAAGGCAACCTCAAGCACATGGAGCGACGCTACGCTTGGCTGCAGCAGATGGTGAAGTGCAAGAAGGTTGCGCTGGAATACATCCCAACATCCGAGCAGCCGGCGGACTTCCTCACAAAGGGTCTGCACTTTCCGGCCTTCAACCGGTGCTCTATCGCGATCGGCCAGGTTCGCCTTACCGCAGTCGGCGACAACGACGGCGTGCAGCAGTAGGTGCCATGTCCTCTAACATGGCTGGTGCGGTGGTCGGCGTGCGGGAGTGTGCACGCCAGAGAAATGTCCCCTTGTATTTTATTAACTAGGTTCTAGGTGGACCTTGTGTGTGGGTGCCCAAGCGTGAGCTGGGCAGGGGAGTGTCGAGGAGAAAAGGCCCCGCCCTCGCTTGGGCGAAGTCGGCCATGCTTTTCGGAGCACAACGGTGTTCGTTTCGTGGTCGCGACTTCAGGGACTTTTCTCTCTGACTGACGGGTCGATTTTCGACCAAATTACTTCGTCGAAATTGAAGTGCTGTTTCTGCTCTACACAACTGCCCCTCGACGAGGCACTTGTCGAGGGGAGCAAAACGGCGTCCAAATCGAGCCTCGCGGGTCGACGAAATGGTAGAAAACAGCGTTTCGACGAAACGCTGGTCGACAGAATTAAGCTCGAAACAGGCACCGTCGAGCAGAGCGCTTTCTTGCTGTCTCCAGCCCTGCCAGAGCGCACGGCTCCTGCCCTGTGGTATTTTTGATTCGAAAACACATCTACCTCAGTCTCAGCCCTGCCTTGCTGTGTAGAGCGCACGTGCTTCTGCCCCCTGGCATATTTTTGAGTCGAAAATACATTCTACCTCAGTCTCCCCCAGCCCTGCCTTGCTGTGTAGAGCGCACGTGCTTCTGCCCCCTGGCATATTTTTGAGTCGAAAATACATTCTACCTCAGTCTCCCCCAGCCCTGCCTTGCTGAGACGCACGTGCTCCTGCCCTGTGGCATATTTTTGAGTCGAAATACATTCTACCTCAGTCTCCCCCAGCCCTGCCTTGCTGTGTAGAGCGCACGTGCTTCTGCCCCCTGGCATATTTTTGAGTCGAAAATACATTCTACCTCAGTCTCCCCCAGCCCTGCCTTGCTGTGTAGAGCGCACGTGCTCCTGCCCTGTGGCATATCGAAAATACATCTACTCATCTCCCCCAGCCCTGCCTTGCTGTGTAGAGCGCACGTGCTTCTGCCCCCTGGCATATTTTTGAGTCGAAAATACATTCTACCTCAGTCTCCCCCAGCCCTGCCTTGCTGTGTAGAGCGCACGTGCTTCTGCCCCCTGGCATATTTTTGAGTCGAAAATACATTCTACCTCAGTCTCCCCCAGCCCTGCCTTGCTGTGTAGAGCGCACGTGCTCCTGCCCTGTGGCATATTTTTGAGTCGAAAAACACATTCTACCTCAGTCTCCCCCAGCCCTGCCTTGCTGTGTAGAGCGCACGTGCTTCTGCCCCCTGGCATATTTTTGAGTCGAAAATACATTCTACCTCAGTCTCCCCCAGCCCTGCCTTGCTGTGTAGAGCGCACGTGCTCCTGCCCCCTGGCATCGGCGGGCACATCATTGCTGTGTATGAGAACAAGCCCACGTCGCTTATCCCTCCCTCCCCCACCCCTTTTTCCCCCAAACCCCCCTTCTTCCATGACTCATACAGAACCCTCCGGCCTTGCTAGGAAGAGACGTGTGATGAGGTTATTTTTTAGACGTCTCAACAGTAACATTTTTCCCCCAAACCCCCCCCTTCTTCCATGACTCATACAGAACCCTCCGGCCTTGCTAGGAAGAGACGTGTGATGAGGTTATTTTTTAGACGTCTCAACAGTAACATTTTTCCCCCAAACCCCCCCTTCTTCCATGACTCATACAGTACCCTCCGGCCTTGCTAGGAAGAGCTCACGTGCTCCTGCCACCCGGCATCGGCGGGCGCATCATTGCTGTGTACGAGGACGAGCCCACGTCGCTCATTGCGTACGCCATCTCGTCCAATGAGTACTACCGCGCCGTGCATGGCGCCGCCACTGTCGTTGGTGCCACTGCTGCCCACACTGCCATTGCTCAGAATGCCGCTAGTTCTGCTCGTGCGCCTGCTTCTGGTGGTGCTGCTGCTGCTGCTGTCAGTAACACGTCTGCTGCTGGGGGAGGGGCTGGGAGTGGTGGTGCGGGTGCGGGTGCTGGTGCGGGTGCTGGTGCGGGTGTGGGTGTGGGTGTGAGTGTGGGGCAGATAGGGAGTGTGTTTGGGCCTGGAGTGTCAGCCAAGGGGGTAGGGGGGAGTGGGAGAGTGGTGGAATCAGAGGTGGTGGGGGCTAAGGCAGTAGGCGAGCTGGTCAGGCAAGCCTCTTCTGCTGCTGCAGCTGCTGCAGCGGCAGCGGCGGCCATGGCAGCAGTAGAAGCAGATGATAAAACAGGAGGAGGAGCAACGGAAGCAGGATCAGGAGGAGGAGGAGCAGCAGCAGCAGCAGCAGCAGGGCCAAGCCGTGCAGGTGCAGCAGCAGATGCATGTGGAAGCGTTGCTGCCCCTACACCTGATTCTGCAGCTGAAAGCACTCGTCGCACTGATGGCTCTCCACCTGCTGCTGCTGCTAGGGCACCAGGACCCACAGCAGGCTGCATAGAGACTGCAGCAGCAGCAGATGCACAGTCCACAGCTGCAGGGGCAGCAGGGGGGAAACGAACAGCAGGGGAAGGAAGCGAAATCGATTGGGAGGCGAGAGGGGGAGGGGGAAATGGAGCAGAGTTGGCGAGCTCAGGTGCTCCAGCAGCTGCAGCAGCAGCAGGAGCAGCAGGAAGAGCAGGAGCAGCAGGAAGAGCAGGAGCAGCAGGAAAAGAAGCGTACGGGATGGCTGCAGAAGGAGCGGCCAGTGAGGCTGTGGAAGAGGCTAGAGCCCTTCGCGAAAGAGATGGTGGAGGAGGTAGCGATGGTCGGAGATCTAGAGAAAGTAGTACTAGCGATAGTGCAGCAGCAGCAGCAGCAGCAGCAGCGCCCTGTGGCAGTGGCAGTCCGGTGCCCGACGGAGGGCAGGCCCGGCAAGCCCATGCGCTGCACGCTGCTTCTGCACAGAGTGCTGTAGAGGCAGGTAGAGAAGATGGTGAGGGAGTGGAGAGCGGTGGGGTTAGATCTAGTGCCGAGCTGAGAATGCTGGCAGGAGCAGAGAGGGATGGTGCTGGTCCTGGTGCTGGTGTTGCTGGTGATGGTGATGGTGGTGGTGCTGACACTGCAGGCGTGACACAAGGGCTGAAAGATAGACTGGAACAAGATAGACTGGAACAAGATAGACTGGAACATGATAGACTGGAGCATGGGTCCGTGCCTCAAGACACGTCTGCGACTGCAAGTGCTGATAGTGGTGGGGGTGCTGCTGGCGAGACTTCTTTTGCCACTGCTGATGGGCGTGGTGATGTGGGAGGAGAGGAGGGAGCTTGCAAGCAAGAGGAGACATCATCACAAGACCATCAACCAGCATCCTCCATGCAGCACGAACAAGTGCAACAAAAACCTTCAGAAGCAGCATCGGAACCGTCACAGTCGCAGGAAGAACCATTACAAGCACAACCAGAAGAGAGGCGAGCTGGGGGAGAGACAGAGCCAGTGCCAGTGCCAGTGCCAGTGCCATCGCAAGGGGAACCGGAGCCCATGCCATCTCGGGGAGAAGCGGCTCCAGTGCCGTCCCGGGATGAGCCATTGCCATCCCGAGAAGAGCCAGTGACAATGCCCACTCAGGAGGACCCGCTGCTGTCCCGGGAGAAACGCCACGTGAAAGTGGCATTCACAGTGGGGGGAGGTGACGATACCCTGCCCTTCCCCGCACTGCCCTTCCTCCCCGGCCCCACCACCAACCCCACCGGCACCACGGGCAGCAGCAGCGCCAGCAGCGGGATTAGTGGCGGCATTAGTGGCAGTGGCATGAACAGTGGCGGTATGAGCAGCGGTGCGTCAACGCCAGTGGGTGCTGGTAGCAGTAGCCGTCGGCGTGGGATCGGCGGTGGCGTTGGTGGGGGGAGTGGCTCTGCAGCATCGTTCCAGGTGACTGCCTACTTCGCCAAACAGTTTGACGCGCTCCGCCGCAAGTGCTGCTCTCCCTTCCCCCCAGCCACCGCCACTGCCTCATCCGGCCAGCAGAAGGCTGTAGCTGACACAGGAGAAGGGGCAGCAGGGTCGGCAGGGGCAGCGGGGGCGGCAGGGGCAGGGGCGGCAGGGGAAGGGGTGGTGGACGGGAGTGGCGATGTGGAGTTTGTGCGGTCGCTGTGCCGCTGCAAGCGCTGGAGTGCCGAGGGCGGCAAGAGCTCCGTGTATTTCGCCAAGACTGCGGACGACCGTTTTGTCATCAAACAGGTGGGTTGAACTCTCCTTTCCTCAGACTCTGGCCGCCCTCTGCCCTCTCCTTGCCTGTGCGCTCTCCTCTCCTCTCCCCTCACCTCTTCTCCGCCCTCGTTTTTGTTTATTATTATTATTGTTACTATTAATATTACTATTGTTATTATTATTATTGTTGTTATTATTGTTATTATTGTTATTATTATTATTATTGTTATTGTTATTGTTATTATTATTATTACTATTTTTATTATTTTAATCTCCTATTTTTCTTCATCTCACAGTCAAGCCCTTGTGTTTCCGTCCACTCTCCCTCATCCCCGTTATAAGGTGCAACGCAAGGAAATACTGGCGTTTCTGGACTTTGCCAACGACTACTTCAAGCACCTGTTTGACGCCATCGAGTCCAGCAACCCCTCCTGCCTCGCCAAGATCCTCGGCCTCTACCAGGTGGGGTCGTGAGGGGGATTTGTGTAGATAGATGATGCTGATGTGTGGGAGGGATGTGAATGGTCCTTGTTTTGTACCAGTTGCTGTCGTGAGGGATAATATCGCTCTCTGCTTTTTGCTCTCTGCTCTCCCCTTTCCTCTCTCCTCTCTGCACTCTCCTCTCTGCACTCTCCTCTCTGCACTCTCCTCTCTGCACTCTCCTCTCTGCACTCTCCTCTCTGCACTCTCCTCTCTGCACTCTCTATGCACTCTCCTCTCTCCTCTCTCTGCACTCTCCTCTCTGCACTCTCCTCTCTGCACTCTCCTCTCTGCACTCTCCTCTCTGCACTCTCCTCTCTGCACTCTCCTCTCTGCACTCTCCTCTCTGCACTCTCCTCTCTGCACTCTCCTCTCTGCACTCTCCTCTCTGCACTCTCCTCTCTGCACTCTCCTCTCTGCACTCTCCTCTCTGCACTCTCCTCTCTGCACTCTCCTCTCTGCACTCTCCTCTCTGCACTCTCCTCTCTGCACTCTCCTCTCTGCACTCTCCTCTCTGCACTCTCCTCTCTGCACTCTCCTCTCTGCACTCTCCTCTCTGCACTCTCCTCTCTGCACTCTCCTCTCTGCACTCTCCTCTCTGCACTCTCCTCTCTGCACTCTCCTCTCTGCACTCTCCTCTCTGCACTCTCCTCTCTGCACTCTCCTCTCTGCACTCTCCTCTCTGCACTCTCCTCTCTGCACTCTCCTCTCTGCACTCTCCTCTCTGCACTCTCCTCTCTGCACTCTCCTCTCTGCACTCTCCTCTCTCCTCTCCTCTCTCCTCTCCTCTCTCTCTCGCTCCTCTCTCCTATCTTTGCCCTATAACCTTCCATCCCGTGCATGCGTGTGTGAGCAGGTGACAGCAAAGGGCGTGACTATGGACGTGATGGTCATGGAGAACCTGCTCTACGGCCGTCGGATCACCAAGCTCTACGATCTCAAGGGCTCCCGTCGCTCCAGATACAACGCAGACCGCTCCAAGAGCAGGGTATGTGCGCAAGGGGTTGGGTGGGGTAGGGTGGGGGAACCTGTACATACACTTGTGGTTCCTGTACATGCATTTGTGATAAAGCATTCTCACATCAACTCCCCTTTTCCCCCGTCTCTTTCCCATTCTCTTCCCTCCTCCTCTCTTCTCCTCGCCTCAGGTACTGCTAGACGAGAACCTGCTAGAAGCCATGCCCACGTCGCCCATCTTCGTAGGGAAGCGGTCCAAGCAGCTGCTGGAGCGCGCTGTGTGGAACGACACGGCATTCCTCGCGGTGAGACGAGATGAGAGTGGTTGAGAGCAGTTGTATGTAAGATGGGTAAGCATTCACCTCCACGCAGCTGCTGGAGGGACGTGTGGGAACCACGCCGTTCCCCCATTGGTACAAAAGCGGCTGAGAATCGTTGAGAGCGGTTGAGAATCAGGTACGAAGGTAATGATTCACTCACCACCCCTCCCCACCTGTTCCGGTCCCTTCCCCACCCACAGAAACACGCCATCATGGACTATTCTCTGCTCGTAGGGGTAGAAGAGGAGCGCTCAACACTGGTGGTGGGCATAATCGACTTCATCCGCCCCTACACGTGGGACAAGCAGCTGGAAACATGGGTCAAAGCGTCTGGACTGCTAGGGGGAGGCGGGGCGGGCAAGGACTCTACTCCTACGGTGATCTCTCCTTCTAACTACAAGAAACGGTTCCGGAAGGCCATGCAGACGTACTTTGTGATGGTGCCCGATCAGTGGGTGCCGCGGGTTCCGGAGATTGCGACTACGGCTGCTGGTGTGGTTGTGCCTGCTGTGCTGCCGTCGAGGCTGGTGCAGCAAGGGGAGGAAACAAATCAGAAGCAGCAGCAGCAGCAGCCACAGCAGCAACAGTAGAAGCAGGTGTTGCAGTAGCAATGAGTTGCAACCCCGATTGCTGACGTTCTTAGTGATGGTGCTGGATCAGTGAGTGCCGGGGATTGCCACCACAACTGCTGGTGTGGTCGTGCCTGCTGTGCTGCCGTCTAGACTGGTGCAGCAAGGGGGGGAACTGGAGAAACAGCAGAAGCAGCAAGAGCACAAGCAGCTGCAGCAGCAGCAGCCGATGCCGCCTCCGCAGCAGCAGCAGCAGCAATGATAATGATTGCTAGCACGGCGGCTGGTCTTTTCATGTGTGTTGTGGCGCTGGTTGTTGACGAATAAGCACAGCCAGAGCAGCGGCAGGAAGAGGAGGGCGAACGCAAAGTAGAGCCTCGGCTCAGCAGCAGTAGATGCTCGTAGTAAGATGGGCAGAAGGGGCGGAGGTTATTGCCCCAAAACCCTGGATGGTTGTTAAATATGCTGTATATAATTGTTACTGAGGTGCCAACTAGGTATTTCATATTTTGCTGTTGATGCTCGACAGCGACTCAGCATCGGTTGAGATGAAAACTGCAGGCTTGCAATGCACTTCTCACCACCACTGGTACTGGGCTGTGGACCCATTTGTAACAACAAATTATGGAACCACATATCGGTACTATTGAAAGTAAGATGCTAGACGAGAGTAATCCTTGGGGCGGCTCAAAGAATGGTGTTAAACAGCTTGGCACCGGTCCTCTTGAATCATATCCTGCACTCTATCCAGCAGCACCTCATACGTCTTGGTCACATCTATCTTGGCCCCAGACAATCTATGATATATCCTCTCATAAGACCTACCCGGTCCCTCCCACCCCTTGCGATAGAAAATGATATTCTTCCCACCCCAATAGCTGGATAGTACTGATGTTCCCCCTTGCACACTGATGAAACAGGAGCTTCGGGCCATCATTCTAAACTGAACCTCGTTGAAACTTAGGCCCGGCCAAGCCTCGTGAATCTGCTGCATGGTTCGGAACCGAGCCTCCGAACCAAACTCCTCAGCCAGCCTCGTGTGGTCCCCCAAGTCGAACCTGTCTCCTTGCTCCGGGTCTGCCTGGATCGAATGCCCGGGCCGGTTATACACCACGAAATACCCCTTATTGAGAAACTCACGAATGATTATAAGGAGATTTGGGACATCAATGAAATTGGTAGGCGGTTCTGCCCATTCAATCTCATACTTGTTGCTTATAATCACAAGTGGAGCCCCCCCTATAGGAACATCCAGCCATACTCGCCCCAGCTCCCGTATCCGGTGCACTAATGGCGGGGGATGCCAATAATGCGGAATGTCGCTAAAATGAAGGCCCTTGGTGAAACCATACTGTTTAATAACGTAATTGTAATCGTTGGAGCGTTTACAGTTCGGGTCTGTGGAGTGGTTTGGGCTGAAATAGTAGAGGAGAGAGAGGGGGGAGGCACAAGCCCTGGTGGATCTGAGAGTTCCGTTGAGGAAATGCCAGTAGGCGTGAGGAAGGACTGCAATCAGCTCGTATCCAAACTCGCCCTTAAAGGAGATGTCTATAGCGGGGATGGAGTTGTTTGGTGGTGGGGTGGGTGACGGGTTGAAGGAGGAGTTGCAGGGGCAGACCCATGCGGGGGGGGTGTCATCTGGGGAAAAAGTTGGATGGTTGCAGGGAGGGGGGAGAATGGGGGGCAGAATGGACGGGGGAGGCTGCGGGAAAGGGACAGTGGACAGATGGATGGATGGATGGATGGATGGATGGATGGATGGATGGATGGATGGATGGATGGATGGATGGATGGATGGATGGATGGATGGATGGATGGATGGATGGATGGATGGATGGATGGATGGATGGATGGATGGATGGATGGATGGATGGATGGACGGACGGACGGACGGACGGACGGACGGACGGACGGATGGATGGATGGATGGATGGATGGGTGGGTGGGTGGATGGATGGATGGAAAGAAGGCAGCCTTAGAGAGAGCACGGAAGTTAATGCTGCCAGGAGGATGGAGGATAAGGCATGGTGGAATCGCCTTTCAATAGAGGAGAGACATTCATGTCACTCACTTGAGCTACAATTTGATAAATTGCTGGCAGGTGCAGGCTCGGCAGCAGACTCGGTGGTAGGCTCGGAAGCAGGCTCGGTGGTAGGCTCGGTAGAAGGTTCGGAGGCAGGCTTAGTGTCAGAGCTAGCGTCAGGCTTGAAATTCGAACCAGCGTCTAGCTTTGCATCCGGCTCGGAAACAGTGACCGCCGTTGATTCTTCTGATGAAGCAGCATCGTGCGGTGGCGAAGAGGCCTCGTCATCTGCATGGGAGAGAAGCAGTGGATCGTTAAAAATTATCAAGAAGCAACTGATGTGCATGGAGGTGACTTTTGAGTCGACTCAAAAGCCACCTAAAAAAGTAATTCACGTGCTTGGAACAGAAGCCAGTGGATTGTTGAAATAATTAAAACACCAACTCATGTGCACGGCACGGAAGCCAGTGGCAGCAGTCGCACGTTGAGAACAACCTCATGAGAAGGAAAGAGAATGGAGCGGAGTGATGAGAGGAGGCGGAGAGAGGGGGAGCGGAGAGGAGAGAAGGGAGAGAAGGGAGGGGAGAAGAGGGAGAAGAGAGGAGGGTGGAAGGGGAGAAGGGGGAGGGGAGAGGGGAGAGTGGAGAGAGGAGAGGGAAAGAAAAGAGGGGAGAGAGAAGGAAGGGGAGAGAGAAGGGAAGGGGAGAGAGAAGGAAAGGGGAGAGAGAAGGGAAGGGGAGAGAGAAGGAAAGGGGAGAGGGGAAGAGCCCAAATCACGTGCGCACCAGACGCGGCAGCAAGGCGGGTTGCGAGAGAGAGGGCGAGGAGCAGGAGGAGGACGCGCCACGAGCGACGAGCGACGGTGGGTGACGAGGGGCGAGCGACGGTGAGCGACGACGGACGAGCGACGGTGGGTGACGGCTGACGCGCGAGCTGAAAGGGAGTGAGCTGCGTGGCGGCGGAAGCAGCAGCAAGGAACCTTCCGGAAACAATCAGGCCGCACGAGGCGTTGCGATCCTTTCCGCACATTGGCCGATAGATGATCAGACGAGGAGTTGCGGCCTAGGGGAGTATCTTTCATAAGTGTTTCTGAGTCGTCCAAAAAATCCTTGCCGCACATTGACCAAGTCCCAAGGTATCTCGTTCGAAAAGTGCTCTGAGACGTCGCTAGCGTCAGTTTCTGAGTCGACTCAGATTCGGACGTCACTAGCGTCGGAAAGCGCTACTTTACGCAGCGGTGATGCGTGCTACTTTTTTTTTTGCCCGCGGGCAGCGCGGTTGCGCAAAGCTTCCGCGTTGGTGGAAACGAACCCACCAGCTCCAGGCAATAGGTGGGTTGGTGCATTGATATTTCCGCGCCACCCGTAGAAACTGACTCGTATTCAGTTTTTATTGGCCAAAGTATTCTCTTCCAATTATTTGGGCTTCCCGTAGCAGGCTGTTCAGCCACGGGTCTGCAGAATAGATTCTTCGAGGATGCTGGGATCGCACGGCTTATTCCTTGCGAGGTAATTTAATTTTCTACCCTAACTTCCCTTCCCCAGTCGCATTGGACGTATCAATCCCAGTCGCAGTCCCAGACCCCGTTAGGTAGCACGGTTCAGGTGGTGGCTCACATGCACAAGCGAGCCGAGCTTCTAACGATGCCCGCAAGGCTTCCTTTGATGCGCCTCTAAAAAGACTCGGCTTCTGGCAAGGAGGCAAACGCTGCTCTTCTATCCCACTAGCATCACTATTCACGCCTGTTCAGGTTGAACAGCGAGTGGCAAGGAATGTGGGGAAATGGTGGTGTGGTGAGGGACGTGCGGCGGCGCGGAATTGAAATATGAGCTGATTAGGAATTGGAATGGTCTGGAGGAGCGAAGTCCGGTTTGGTCTGGTCAAGTGCGTATTCACAATTCATTACTGTAGAGGCTGCTCCTAGCTAGGAAAGCCCGAGCACTTCGCGTCAGTGTGGCTCGGCCTACACTTTCGCACCTAACCAGTTCCGAGTCGCCCATCACCAATCGCGACATTTCCGAACCACGCACGTCACGCGGTTCTCGCCTAGCACGTATTCGCCCTATATTTGCTAGCATTCTTCATTTTTCCTCATTATGTAATCACATTCTCTTTATAGAAGTCTTTCGCGCACTCTGTTTAGTACAACTCATAACACTTGGTATCAGAGCTACTTTCCTAGCTTCCCCATTTTTATCCCTCGGGGGGGGGGGGGGGGGGGGGGGGACAGGGAAGGATGCCATGG